GATGTTCTCAAAAAATAATGTGTCGATAATATTATAAACGAAAAAATACAACATTATTTCCCATCGAAAGTGCACTCAATTTAGTTTTAAAACTTAATTTTGTTATTTTCTCGAGTAATAAAAAATACTTTCCATAAAAGCCATTACTTTCTTCTCTTAACCCGTATTTAAAGTTTGATATATTTTAACGCACTTTAAGTGATTTAATGGTAGAGTTATTCACTGGAAATCCATTAGTTATTATTAAGAGATGGTATTTTAAACACCCTTTCAATCGGGTATTAACTCTATGTGCTTTATCCAATACATTTTCCAACCTACCAAGGTTATTCAGTATTTAAATGCATTTTATTATTACTTATATTAATACTTATTAAGTGAGTTATATATAGATGGTTCAGTGTCATTTTATATAAGAAATAATGATGATAAATTCAATTTCCTTATAGTTTTAAAAATAAGATTCTTTGATAATTATTCATGATCAAATGTAAGTATGAAGATTATTTACTTTATTTTATTATCCATTAAATAAAGTTTAAATTAATTTTTAATATATGACAATAAATTTGTGAAATACTGTTTTGAAGTGTATATAATCTAATAACTTGTTTAAGAAGTAAACGTGAAGTAAAATATCAAATATTTTCAACAATTTAATCAAGAATTTCAAATATATTAAATTACTTTATTTTATGAGATGCCAAACATTTTCATTCAAACTTTCAATTAATTAGAATAAAATGAAATAAATATCGAAATAAAAGTTTTATTTAATTCTTACAACAATTCAGACAAATTCTTGAAAACAACTCCGGATTCCTTATACGACTGGTAATTAACGACTATGCTATAATTTCATATACTATACATCGAGATAATTATTTTTAATTAGGCGATTGAGATGGAAAAATACAATAACGAAATGTGAATTTTTATTTGTTAACATAAAAAGTAGGGAAGTTTTATCGTTAGGAAAATTAATTGGCATTTAATTACAATAATTAGCGCACATTTTATTACACAAATTATACTGTTTTTTGGCAAAATAAAAAACAAAAAACAAATTTGTTTTATTTTATTAGACATTATATTTATGACAAAATTACAATAATGTATTGTATTTTTTGACAATGATTTTGATAAATCAATTCTCATATACTTTATTATAATTAATAAGGCTTCAAAACTTTTAGGCAATAATTATACATTATTTAATGACATTTTTGTTTTATTCACAGACACTCTCAATGAGTCTACAAATAGGCTTTAAATGATATGTAGTTTGCATTTTATACGATATATAGTCGAGTCGTTTCTTAAGCCGCGAATCGTTCAACAAAGCGGTGATTGAGCCAAACGTGGTTGAAATGTGGCACTTATATGGCTCCAGAATAATGCCAAACCCGGTGTCCTTAACCCTCTGGGCGTTATCCAACTGTTGGCCATATAATGGCATTACAATCATTGGTTTGCCATAATATACGGCTTCTGTCACAGTCCGGGTGTCGCCGCAAGTGATGACCAGATCCGAGGCATGGATTGCCGCCGATTGCGGCACAGATGCGTCCAAACACCTGAAATGGTCACACAATTTGTATTCACTATTAAACGGACCGTTTTCTACAAGAAATATATCCTCTCTATTATGTGACAGAATTGGGATCAATCTCTTCACGAGTTGTTCATCGGCTGATCCGTACGAACCCAACGATAGGTATATAATGTGTCCACTTTTTGATGTTAATTTTGGTGGTATCATGATCATTTGATCGCTGCCTTTTGTCAGGCAATTAAAACGATGCCATTTGTCGGCCAGAATATGTTGGTCACCCTTAAGAGTAAAGTCCAATTCCTTGGGATAAATATAAATGTTGAGATACGGGGAGTGGGGATGGAGTTGGTTGGGAGGCAGGGCTGGTGTGCCTCGCATTTGGCACCAGTCGTCGAGCTCTTGTCTCAGCCCAAGGATTAATTGGCTTTTTTGGTCGCGAAACTCAATCCAATTATTTTTATCAGAATTCTGAGATAAACCTATTTTTCATTATCAAAAGGATTGAAACAATGATTACATTATATGATTACACAAAGATCTGTATGCGATGTCATACCAGACCCGGCGGGAGGCAAGAGTTGGTGATCAACGCATTGGTTCGGTAGACCAAAGTTGAGCCAAACCCACGGTATGCCAGAGTTGGTGATCGCTGGCGAACACAACACCGACTCAACAATAATCACATCCGGTTTCAAACGAGCCAATAGTAACTCAAAATAATGTTCCCGTTCTTTGATTTCCGCCAATCGCTGCGACAAACACTTGAGACTAAACCTCTTCAGCACTTCCAGCGGTGATCCGCAAAAGACGTCGAGATTAAGCCCAGTGTTTAGTGGCCAACAGTGGCCTGAAGTGGTCTCAGAGTTTATGGATGTTATTAATGCGGTTTCGGCGATATTGACGGCGAATACGGTTTGGTGTCCGCGATATTGAAGCTCATCCGACAGCACCCGAAGCGATGCCATGTTTTCAAAGCCATTGTTCGGCACAAACAGTATGTTTAGACACTTGCCTACACTTCTTGCGCCCATATTATCATTGGTTTTCTCTCTTCGCGTAAGTCTTTACTCAAAACAGTTATGAATTAAAATGATAGCCTTTGCACCAGAAGTGGTTGTTTTTCTCTCATTTAATAGCGATTTAATATTAATTTTAAATTATTTATATTAATAGCGAGTATTTAATAATTATGAACTAGTTTAATACTTCCTAAATGATCTAAATCGTGATCATTTTTAACTGCAATTATCTAAAGTTTCTAATACTTGTAAATTATTAGCAATAATCTTATCAAAAGTTTGGCGGAAACCAGAAATTAATTTTTAAAATCTCATTTAGTATTCAATTTTCTCATAACTCTCGTTAGTTATGATGGGAATTGTGTTTTTGAATTAAAATATAAGTATTGATTGTTTAATTTATATCTGATTGTTTACATACATTAATTACTACTGTATTTGATAAGTTGTTTAATAATGTATATCTGTATCATTTTGTATTCATTATATTAATGTCAATTAAAAGTATAATATTAATTTCCTGTTTTATCAGCACACATACCACTTATATCCATATATCTTTAAGCAGCCAATTAGTTGTTTTTAAACATAAATTATCTTTTTATAATAGAGAATAAATTAAATCTCAATTAAAATTCTAAAAATGTACCCAGTTCGTGGTACTTACAGCACATTTGGGTTAGTTTGGACATTTATTAAATTATATAATATTATAAAACATGAATTACAAAAAACTAGATTTTAATTTAACAAAATATAAACTTAAAAGTGAATTCCATTATCTGATATTGGATTTATGCGTTAAAAATGGTACTAAAAGACACTTTACGATTAGGTGAAACCATCTACTTCTAAAATTTAGGCCAACGGGCATATTTAGCGGGTATAATGGCCACAATTAGATTAAGAATTTGATTTAATAGTTTTAATTTATGCGCCAGTATTGTGTGGAGATTTTATTCAAATCTATCATACCATCACCTTACTCATAATTAGTAGACATAAATACATTATTCACACTTAATATTACTTTTAACTTGCAAATTAATTGATGAGTTATATGAAATGATTAAAAATCTGAATAAAAATTATAGTAAACGTAATCATGAACTATGTTTTTGAGTATTAATATATAAAACTTGTATTTATCTCTACTAATTATGAGTAAGGTGAAAGTATGATAGATTTGAATAAAATATCCACACAATACTGGCGCATAAATTAAAATTATTAAATCAAATTCTTAATCTAATTGTGGCCATTATACCCGCTAAATATGCCCGTTGGCCTAAATTTTAAAGCTAGATGGTTTTAACTAATCGTAAAGTGTCTTTTAGTACCATTTTAAACGCATAAATCCAATATTAAATAATGTAATTCACTTTTTAGTACAGATGTCCTGTTATTATACAGAATGTCTGTGTAAATATAGTCATATATTTTTGTTGAAACCTGAAAATATCTTACAAATAACTTATAATTAGTTTAATGAAAATTATTATTATTAATTTTATATAAATATATTTTCTAAAATTATAATATAATTATTTAACATGGTTGAAAGTGATTGGAGGATTAGAGCAAACTTTTGCATAATTTTAATCATGTTTTTGCAGTAACAGTAAATACAAAGTGGTTCTCAAAACACATAGATTAATAAATGCCAAACTTTATAATAAATATATAATAAGATATAAAATTCCAGTAATAATTGGATTCTTTATAATAATTTATTAATAAACATAGAGTTTGTGTTTGAAATGCAATTTATTTTTTAATTAACGGCGAGTTTTGAAGTCATAAATAGAGATAACATTGAAATGAAGCCTCATTTAGGAGATTAAATATTGAGTTTATTTGTAAATTAAATTTTTACTTGTTTTCTATATTAATAATAAAATAAAATTTGCAATTAATGTAAAATTTAATTGCATTTAACGTACCAAACAAATTAACTGCACTCAAACATGCGATACAAGCATTTAGGCAGCACTTAAACAAATTGAATCTAATATATAACCAAATTTAATTAGTTTTATACATTAGAAAGTCATTTACTTTACTGTATGCTGTAAAGTGTATACATGTATATCGATATAAAAAAAAGGTGTAATCAAATGTACATTATATAACAGATAATATATATTATAAAGTTATCTTTAAGACATAGTGTTTGTAATGCAAGAATTTAAAGTGCAATTATTAATTACTAATATTAATACTAATCATAATTAATAATTAACATGTACATTTGTCTTGAAATGTCTCACCTAATTAGGTAACATAAATAATAAGTAATTATTAATTATGATTATTATAAAAACATTAATCTCTTGATCTGCTCTGCAGTCAATGCAGTAAAAAATTTTGCTCATAAATAACAAGATTAACAAATAATAACACAAACTCTTTGCCATTTATAATACTTAAGCCTCAGTGCCGCCAATGAAAGTGTATATGGGTTTGGGTTCACTGTATATGGGTTTGGGTTCACTGTATATGGGTTTGGGTTCCTCCCAGAGTCGTACTAACGGCGCCTCCTTTACCTCCTCAACCACTTCTTCGGGGATCAAATTCAATATTCTTCCGATTCTATCAGATATCTGTTTACAAGACTCGGATGTTTGCAAAACATTGGATATAAGTGCCAAACGGCGTGGGATAGAAACATCGGCTAAAGTGTGGTTAATCATACAGAGAAGCGTCGCTTTATTGCAGTCAAACGGATCCAAACCCCAGCCGAAGCCCAACTCTTTAAAGCGGTTCCTGTTGTCCAACTGTTCGCCAATAATCGGCAAAACGATTACCGGTTTCCCGTAGAAGAAGGCCTCGGCTATGGTTTTGGTGTCACCGCAGGTGAGGATCAAATCGACGCTCATAATGACGTCGTCGAGGGGTACGTCCTCTTTGCCCCACATATTGGCCGGCAATTCATACTGACTGTGAAACACACCCTTCGATACGATGAACCGGTGCTGCGATTCGGCCAACAAACTGGTCATTCGTCGCATGAGCTCAAGACTCGCGTACTCTCCCATCGATATGTAGACCAACTTTCCGGGCAATGAACGCAATTTGTCCGGAATCGTGAACTTCTTCAGCGGCCGGCTCTCAACGAGACAATTGATTTGCATCCATGTCTTGGTCTCCCACGTGTCCCGCAGTGACTGGTAGTCCAGTTCTGTCGGATAGACGTAAATGTTTAGGTGCGGAGAGTGCGGGTGGAAAGTGTGGTGCGGCAACTCTGGCGCCCCCAACGACTCGCACCACAAGTTCATCTCGTACTTCACGTCACCCAATAGCTGATCCCTTTTGCGGATGAATTCCGGCCAATCGTTTGGCCGGCTTTTAGACAAACCTTTAACACAAGAAACATAACTGTAATTAAGTTAAGAACTGATAAGTGAGTGACCATTACCTGACCATCCGGGAGGTATACGGGCGTCGTTTCGGCACAGATTTGGTGGACCAAAGTTGAGCCAAACCCACGGCGTGTCTGTGTTGGTCAGCGCCGGTGAACCTATCGTCGACTCGACGATAATCAGATCCGGTCGGTGCAGAGCGACCAGTTTTTCGTTAAACTCTTCGCACTGTTTGACGAAAGCAAACTTATCGACAATGTTTTTGCGGCAAATATTCTTGATTTTGTCGATCGGATCGGCGTTTAAACTGTTTAAGTCAATGAGTTTTGGATTGATGACCGGGTGCTGAGCGTCCATTACTTCCAGCTGTAGACCAGAGTTGTCTGCGTATTGTTTGCATGTCTTGTCCACAGATACGACAATCTGATAGCCATTGTCTTTCAAGTGTTGGGCCAATAGTAGACACGAAGAGATGTTTTCGCTGCCATTTCTCAGCGCAAATAATATCAGTTTCTTTTGGGTTTCGGTATTCATTATAATATGATTTATATATTTATTTGACAATTAGTTTGATTATAAGTTTAGTATTAAATATACGTTAAAGTTATTAGCAGTTAATAATTAATTCATATGAGAGACTGACAAATGAGCTTTGATTGTGAAAATGGTCTCAATTTATATACAATTGGATTGAGAGGAAGGCGTAACACATTTGTGAATACTTTGATGAATATATGATGTAATTTAATATTAAAAGGAAATTTAAGTTTAAAAATAAAACTAAAACAAAACTTTTGGGAATAAGAAAAAAGTAGAGTTTACTGAAAGTAAGTCTCAATTTTAACAAAAATACAATTTTTAAATATAAAATAAATATAGTTTTTATACTATTATTCAAAACTTTATAATAATTTTTATATTAAATTAGTATTAAAATTTATTATTATACATTATTAAATACATTTTATAACACAATGTAATACTGTTTTACAAATATTGCTGATTTATTTTTTTGTTATTAACAGTTGAGTTACAAATAATGTATGAAAATTAGTAAAACTTCTTGAAACTCATCCCAAACTACATTTATTGCAACCACTAATTAGCATAAAAAAGTTGCAAATATTATGCATATAAAATACAAGCGATTAAATCATAAAAAAATATGTTTAGATTTATAATCTTTGAGACCATTTTTTGATCAACATTTTTTAGTCTTGATTTTTATTCAAATTTTTCATTTTTGTCATTAATCTTAACTTTATTGCAGATAAAATTGTTTATAACTTTGATGTTTTGCATTTTGAGGCAGTTTTAATGATTTTGTCCGAAATATTAATAAAGCTCTCTCTCTCTCTCTCTCT